TTTTCTTATGAAATATTTTCAAATTATAACAAACAGTATTTACCTTTGAAAGTAAGTATTAAATAATCTAAATTATATATTTCTTTTATATATTATCAAATATATCTATCTTTATTGCTTGTCAATTTTTATACTTGTTCCATTAGAAAAAATAATTTGTTATTAATTGTAGATCTGATTTTTTTGACATTTCTTATATTAACTAACACATGCCTTTGTATAACTTTTTGAAATATAAGATTTTTTAACAATTATATATAAATGGATTTCAACACTATAAAGTATATTTTTGATAGTAAATAAAAAACACTTAAATTTAGGTCTTCTAAAATTTCATGCAAAGTTTTATATCATATTGTGATGGTTTCTTGTACAAATTCTTTTTTTTTTTCTTTTTTTAAAACTTGTAATTTTTTTGATTATGAACAATTTTTATTTTTCCAATCTTTCTATACTTATAAAGAAACTATCATATTTTGATGGAGTTGTATCCCATATTTAGTACTATTTTCTTAATACTAAGTGCTTACTCAAATTCAATATTTTTTTTTTTATCTTCATTAGTTAGCTGAGTATGAGTGGGTGCCATCTTTTTGAAAATTTTTTAACCAGAGGAGGTAAAAAAAATAAATAACAAAAGGATAGGCATAAAAAATTTTAAAAAAGGGATAAAATATCATGTTTTAATTTACCATATCTTTTTTTATGTAAATTAAGTGATACTTTTAGTGATGATTGTATACACCTCGAACATAAATTATCAGAAATTATCATATGATAAATGATAATGAAAAAAGATAACAATTTTTAAAATTCAAATAAAGAATTTTTTTTTTATTTAATAACAATAGATTTTTTTAAGATATCAAAAAAAATGTATTTTATTTTTAATAAAAAAATCTTAAAGGTAAAAAATTAATACTTAATATGTTTATCTTTAACCTTAATAATATTTTTAATATGTTTTGGAATACTTAAAATTAATTGACATAAAGTTTCTATAGGAATATTTTTCCACTCTTTTCGTGCAATTATAATTAAGTCTTGCCTTTATTTAGATAAAGGTTTTCTTTTTTTAATCTGATAATCGAGAAGATCTTACAAGTATTCAATTGGGTTCAAGTCTAGACTTTATAAAACCCAGTTTAAAACAGAAATACTATGTGTTGCTATTCATCAATTTGTATAAGAAGATGTATGACATGGCATCAAGTCTTGTTGAAATATCATATTTGGATTATTGTAGATATATAGTATTAAATTATTTGCAAAAATATTAAAATATACATCAAAATTCATATTTTTATCTATTACTAACAGTTCAATTTCATATTAACTAAAACAACTCCCAAACATAACAGATTTTTTATCAGATTTAACAGTAAACTTAATACAATCTTTATTATAAGCCTCTTTTACCCTTCTTCACACTTTTACTTGCTCATCAAATTTGAATCAAGTAAATCTTGATTTATCAGACCAAATAACTTTTTTCCATTCTTTATTCCAATTACATTTGATTCAACATCATTTTAATCAAGAAATACATTGCTTATTGTTTAAAAAAGGTTTCTTACATATAGCACAATCTCTAAAATCAAGTTTATAAAAATATATATAAATAGTTTTAGAATGAAATGTCATATTAAGATTTTGATTAAATTTTCTTGTAATTTTTTCAAGGGGCAAAAATCTGTTCTTTAAAACAATTTGTTGTAAAAAATGTTGTTCATGTTTAGAAAGAATTTTAGGCTGACCAGATCTTTTTTTAGGATGTGGATAACCATTTTTCTTATAATGATTAATAGTATCATATATGGTTGCATGAGGAATATTCAATGCAATTGATATTTTTAAACCATTCGAACCCGTGAGATAAGCACCGATTAGTTGATCTCTTTTTTCAGTTGATAGTTCATTCATTGCCTCACATTTTTTTGACTGAAAAAAATCTACAAGAAAAATCGATTTTTATAAGCAAAATCATTAATTATACTTGTGTCAGAAAAAAAGAAATAAATGACATTTACTTTTCGATTAGTCATATTTTATTGTTGATTTCCGGTAATTTATGTTAGGGGTGTGTACTTACTGGTATGTTTATTATTATTATAGTTTCTTTTTTTTTCGATTTGAAATTTATCAAGTAATTGTAATAGCGAAGCGCATTCTAATGTAAAAAAATAATATTAGATTTTAATCATTATACATTGATTCCAGTACATGGTTTGTGGAATAATCTTTTCATTAATAAAAATTATAGTTTCTATAATATAAAATTCACTAGTGTGTTTTAAACTAAATAAACGAAATAAATTTTTATTAAAAACCTTATTATAGTTAGAACGATATAAATAAAGGAAGGCATACATACGACCATCGCCAGACGCTCAACTTTAGGTGTCCTGAATACGATTCATATGAAAGTGAGATCTCGAGCACTTTCGATAAAAGGGATTAAAGGATTATTGATAGTAGCCAAGTGCCCGATCAAATAAGTTGACAGGATTCATCACAAACTCTTGATCATCTCAAAATTCAACAGCCTCTTTGATAGCATCAAAGCATCTTGTGGCATCAGGAAGGTAGAAACTTTCAAATACGTATGGAAACGGGGTACTATTTAAACAATGAATATCGGTGAATGTCAATTAGCGGGTGAGTAAATTCGGCACTGTTAATTAATGTTACTTACTCCCAACCGCAAACCCTCTGAATTGGCGCTTCAAGTCTCAAGAAACATCGTTCCATTATACTGGTTGCAATTTCAGCTGCAAGTCCCGAGGTCTGTGGTGCCTCGTGAGCAATAATTAATCTGCCGGTTTTATCAACCGATTTTGCAATCGTATCAACGTCCCACGGTAGGAGGGTTCTTAAATCTATAAGTTCACATGATAGGCCGGATATAGCTTTCTCGGCCATCTGTATAGCGTTTTCAAGGACATAAATCTGTGATCCATAACCTACTACGGTGACATCTTTGCCCGGTTTTAAAACTTCGGCCTTACCCAATGGTAATTCGTAATCACCTACAGGCACCTGTTCAACTGGTGACAAGGAGAAAGTGATTAGAAATAAAAATAGGAAAAAGAAAAAAAATTTTTTTGTTAAAAAAAGCCATCATCAAGTTCAAATCACCAGCAGCGCGGTATAGTATCTTCGGTTCAAAATATAATACAGGATTTTGATCTCTTATGGAGGCTAATAAAAGACCCTTTGCTTGAATCGGACTTCGCGGCATCACAATCTAAAATATCGGTAAACATAAATCGATTGTATCAACAATAAATACATTTCTTCTTCATTCTTCATCATTACCTTTATACCAGGCGTGTGAGCAAAATATCCTTCGGGTGACTGGGAATGATAATGTCCACCGTGCCCTACGGCCGAACAAGGTGCCCGCACTGTCAACCCACCAACGTTAAATAACCCCCCCGAACGATATCTGTACTTGGCTGCCTCGTTGACAATCTGAATAAGTAGTATTCAGTTGTTTAAATATTTGCGTACAAAAATGTAAAAAAGTAAGGCGCATGTTAATGGTATAATACCTGATCAAACGCAGGAAAAATATAATCCGCGAATTGAATTTCCGCAATTGCGGTGTGTCCCATTGCCGCCATTCCAATACCAAACCCAACTATACCTTGTTCTGTCAATGGGGTATTAAATACCCGATCTTTACCTGCCAATGTTCGAAGAGTTTAACTCAAAACATTATATCAATAGCAAATCAATTCGACAGTGGCTCTTACCAAATGTTTCGGAAAGGCCCAAAGTACAACGAAATACACCACCAAAAGCCACATCTTCTCCAAAAATGACTAGGAAATTAATTAAATTTTAGATGGATAAGGAATTGTGAAATTTTCGATTTTAATTCAGTAACTCACCAGCTGTCTCGTCTGTCGCCAATGCTATACTCATCGCGTCGTTGATAGATTGAAACATGTTCATTTTTTTCGTCTCGCCTAAATTCCAAAAACTCTGGTCAACAAAAGTCTAACTATTATGTGTAAAGTCGCGGGGAAGGTAATCACCGTTCGCCATTCCGGATTCCACTAATTCCGGGTTCCTCAAAGCCTCCTCTTGGAACTTTTTAATAAATTTTGATTGCGCAACACCTGGCATAAACCCTTCAGCGGGTGGTGGCGAGCCAGAGGGTTTGTGTGCTGATTGTATCGCACTGTATGGTCTCTGAGAAAATAATTATGGTTGATCAGTGAAAGTCCAGCGGTAAAGAAGTACAGAATTTAAATGTCAAATTGCCTGTACCTTGCGAATCGTTCGTCTTACGCATGTTCCCGTTAAACCGCGTAAAAGCGACAAAGTAAGGCGAGACGTCTGTATATTCATTATTTCAATTTCTATTTTCAGGGGACGAAGTGAATGCTGGATGGATTTATATTTACCCCTTGTGCATATATTATATAAACACTAGGAAAACGAAATTATCAATGATCATATCGAGTTTTCGTAAAGATGAAAAAAATTCTTTTTTTTTCTTCTCGATTTTCTCGATTGCGGGCAACCTTTCTTGGCAGAATAGAAATGAATTAGGGAATGATGGATTCATAATTATCTGGTTGTTGCTTTTTTTTTTTTTTTTTACGAAAACGAGTTCATTTGGCGTCGTATTTGAACCACGATCATTTCTTACTACGTTAAGAAAAAATAAAAACGGAATTTATTTCGTTATTATTCAGAAAAAGCTTAGTGTACTCAACGGTGAGTACGTATAAATAAATAATGTATATATATATATATTTATTTATTTTTATTTTGCACTTTTGATGTTGATCAACTAATTGGACATGAAAATTGGAAATTGGAATTTCCATATGCCGTACAAATAAAGGAGAATTCTCTTGTAATCATTACCATAATTAAAAGATGAACGGTCTGTTTGCGATAAATAAACCCCGCGGAAGGACATCCGTCGATCTTTTAAATGCACTCAAGAAAGTACTCTGTGACAATTCCGGTCTCTCGAAGAAAAAAATAAAGTTGGGCCACGGTGGTACTTTGGATCCACTGGCCACCGGCGTGCTGGTTGTTGGCGTGAACGATGGATGCAAGAAATTATCGGATTACATAAAATGTAATAAGGTACCCAACTTTCTGTGTTCGGTGAATGCTGCCATCTTAAAAATTAGCTCTCCGAGGGATTGATTTTTATTCGTTCAGGTTTATTCTTCGGTCGGTCTGCTTGGTTTTGCGACGGATACTCATGATTCCGAAGGAAAAGTAATCAAAACCGGGCCCACTTCACACATTACTAAGGAAATGTTGGTAGACTTATTGCCAAAGTTTACAGGAGACTTGATGCAAATTCCACCTCTGTAAGCTTAAAAATCGTGTTCCGTCTTGCTCGGAGTATCTCCGATACGATTATAGCGAATCAATTGGTGTTCTTATTTTGGTCAAAAGGTATTCTGCTCTGAGAATGGATGGTCGGCGGCTTTATGATTACGCACGAAAAGGTATCGAACCACCGAGAGAGATACATGCCCGAAAGGTCAAGATCCATTCGTTGTCGTTGTTGGATTTTACCACCGAACATGATTACAGAACACCGACAAGCAAAGCGGAGGAAGAAAATCCACATGAGGATGCACAACGAGGTCCTTTGAACTTCCCTATATTCAAAATACGCATTGAATGTGGAGGAGGAACTTATGTCCGGTCATTAGTTCGTGACATCGGAAAAGAGCTCAACAGTGAAGCGCATGTTGTAGAATTAGAAAGGCTACAACAAGGGGATTTCAGGTTAGGGGTGAATACTATTGAATGGAATGATTGTTTGAACGCGGATAATATCTATGAAGTCTTAAAAAAGTACAATCAGACGCTTAATAGTAAAAATCGAGAAATCTAAATTTTTAATCACCAAGGAATGGCAAATCGCCAAATTTATTTCGCCAACCAAGTTACATTAGCTTCCTACACCTAACACTATTTAAAATTCAACTTCTAGCGAAGATAGGCATTCTTTTACTCCTCCTCGTCGCTCTCTTCCTCATCAGTTCCATAGTCAGCAAGTTGAATCAACGCTTTGCTATCGTTACTCTGTGTTGTGTTCGTCTTCGTATTGGACTTATAAATATTTTGTGAAATTGATTTTATATTTTCCAGGGTTTCTGCTGAGATAATGGCATTTTTATGATCGATAGATGCGCCTTTGGTCGAAGTTGAGGCTTCGGCATTTTGTCTCACAAGTTTGTTGTGATGGATGGACTGTTCAATGTACTGTGGGTTTTGATATCCCTCCAGACCATACTGATCCTGAGTGAAGCTGTCATCCATCCTAGGCCTTTTATTTATATAATCATCATTCACCAATGTAAACTCTGCGGGAAGACTTTTTTGTATTGCCTGAGCGGCTATGGCTTCGGCCTTTCGCTTGAATTCCGCCTTCGCGCGTGGATTCGGATCATCGGTGGCCCATCTAAGTAAGCAAATAGTGGATAAAAGAATGCTCAAATCAGTTGCAATACCGAAACATTCCAATGAGCAATGAAGCCAGTGAATATAGCGTACCGTACATTAAGCACCTTCCGAGAAAATATCGTAAAGTTCGAACGAAATTTTTTTTAGATCTCGGTTAATTCACGTTATTCTGATATCAAACAATATGCAAAATAAGTGATCGAATTTTTAGCAGGTACCTCATTGTGATCTAAACTTTGGTTGCTCATCGCCTCCTTAGCAAATTCGGCATTAAGTATGCACTGATATGTTACGAACGCCACGCCTTTATCCTTGAGGATCTTAACTGATAACAAGTAAATGCTTATCGTCAGTGATTGTGAAACTAAAAGCAAGCAAACCAAAAGAACCACCTTTTTCGATTTCTCCCCATTCGCCAAAATGTTTGCGAACGATTTCCTGAAATCCCCCAAAAAGATTCATCTCAGAAAAAGGTCGAGACCCCACAATAGCACGATATACTTGCTCACCTCCATGTCAGGACCAATGTGGATATATCCGACATAGAGCGTTCGATTTTCCCTGTTGAACGAACCGACGCCACCCATATCTTCACGATATTCATCAAACTTGTCGCGCCCAAACACGTCGATTGTCGTATCCACCGGATCAGATTCTGATGGTATTCTGTGCCAGTAATTACACTCGTGACTTTAACGAAGGATATGAGAATTAATATTTTTATCAACAGTTCCTCAACGGTTGATTAATTCGTGAAGCCGTTTACCCAAAAGGACAACATCCGCGAGCGAAATATATACAAAAGTATGTGTTAGGCATTTTGTCGGCCTTCGTCTCACCGGCGTCAAGATCCAATCGGCATCGCGTCTTTGCCTTTTCCCTAAGACGCATCGGCTTCGGCATTAGCGTAAAATTGGGTACCTCTGGTGATTGACATTATTTCGGCCTACCTCGAATACTTTAACGTTCTTTCTCCACCAGACCACTTATTGTACCATATGTTGTAAAATGCGTCGGGACGATCGGCTTTTGTTGGACCCACTTTAAATATGGAATCGTCCACCTGCAGGTGAAATTATTGCTGGTCACCACGAGTCCTTCGGAAAAAAGAAGGTTAAATAAATACCTAAAATTACCTGTTTTCTAGCGGGTTTCATTGTGATTCATGCAAATAAGAAAAAGAAAAAAAATGATCGTGCATAAAGGTGAACGAGTGAACTTGGGTGTCGTATGATGCGATGGGCGAATCTTCCGAGTTCAACCTTTTGTGTTCATCCAATTAGAATCAGGCTTTTTTAAAATAGCAATCTATTGACTGACAAATTTACCAAACAATTCTACAATTTAGAAGAAAACATGGAACAAACAAGAAATTATGTACTGTAAATAAGCATAATCGATCAGTATACAGTATATTAAGGTTTTTTTAAAAAATAGTATGAAATATATGGTCACAATTGTAAATACAACCTTTCAGCATGTTCAAAGTAACCACCAAAATAAAAGGAACCACCTCTTTCAACAATAAATAATTGATTGACCACTATCTCCAACTATAGAGATGGTGCCTGATTATCGATTGATCAAAATTATGGTTGATGAACCGACTGTGGTAAATTTTGGTCGACCATCATGAACCACCGTAAACCAATCGAATTTATCTTTTTTCTAGACTGAAACGTCGGGCAGACACCTCCCAAAGTAAAGAAAATGTCTCGTTTACGCATGTAACTAGTTACCAATTTGCTGGAAACAAATCCTTTCGACATTCGGAACATTTCGAGCTGCACCCCCCCTTTAAAAATGCACCCAGGTGCTTAAATCAAGACTTGTTTGTTACCAGATGTTACTCCAACCTATGTTGTCTGATTGTACAAACGTGCAGGATCTACAGTTAAATTTATAGCGAATATGGTACGTATAATGACGTATGAAAGGTAAAAGTCTTTTTTTATATTTTTAAATTACAAATTGCCCATGCAAAACGTGAAGTTCAAACGTACGAAAAGATTGTTTTGGCACTATCAAATTTTCAATGTCGCTGCTGAACGATCCAGAGTATGTTTGAAGGTTTCAATTTCATTAGTTTTGATCTGTTTGAAGTACCTTTCCCATGGAATTAACAAATGCTTTTAATTATTTACACTGAAGATATATTGTTCACCAATTGCGCATAGGTTATCTTCGTCGTGTGGGAGACCGTATTGGGGAGCGGGTGATAAGTTTCAGTCCGACCGTTCTTTCTAACGACTACATTAAAACTGCCGCAACTTCATACCCAGAGATGTTAATTTGTCATTCCCCAAACATTAGCATATCAGGGAATGATTATTTCAGCAGTAAGAGTATAGCCAGTAGTGCTGCCTGTTCGCCTATGTCGGGCGGCGGGAAAGCAAAAATTTTATTAAACTCAAATCGAAGTAGAGACGCAAGCTCTGCACAGGCCGTGAGAGGGGATTTAAGTATAAACAACACCGAGAATGGAGATAGCGACAACGACACAGAATTGGACGATGATGAGAATGAGTGCGTAAAGAGCTCTTTTGATAAACTATATCTTCCGTTTAATTTTGTTACTATCATTTTTTATCTTTGGCGATGCGAGTTTCTGTTAAATTCACCTCGAATTTTTTAATTGCATTTTTTTATCGTGATATTATTATTTGATTGGAATCCACTGTCGCATTAGGAGACGACCACAACCCTTTTTCGCAAAACTCAACTTACCTAAACAAGATGTACCTCTTCCACCAGTCTTTGTCACTTCTCCTTCAAAACCACCCACCACTCACAAAAATCTTGTGACGCATTCTTATTCACCCGAAGGTGCTCTAAAAACATCACCGGACAGTATACTAGGACTCTCGTCTACCGAGAAAACTCCCCAATTATCCCCAACCACGTCGGCAGAAAGTGATAGATTATTGGCTGATAGAAGAGGTTCAGAAGCATCCTTGTTGATAACAGACGGGGCGGAATTACCTTCGAGTCCGCCGCCGCGACCACCATTGTCTGTAGAGGAGGAGATTAAACTCGCGCCGAATCCACCGATGACCATTCCAAAGCCCAAGCCAATATCCACTTTAACTGCGCTGATCGCCGAAAAAAAGAATAAATTAGACAATCCTTTTGCCGAGGACTACAGTTTCTTTGCCGGAAAGGGTGATCTCAATCCAATAACACGAAAGATTTATCTTCCGTTTAGCACCGAACCAACACGGCCGATGATCATAGTCGTGAAAAGAGATGCCAGCGTGGAAGAGACGATCGGATACACGTTATACCAATATTGGGATGAGAAGAGGGAACCACTGTTAGATCAAAAGTTATGTGATGTGGTACAATGGAACATGAGAATTGTCGAAGATGACGGCGAAATTGACGAGGATTTTCCTGGTATGTTACACGATTTTCATATCCTTTTCTCTTATGGTCAATGTCGAACTGTTCTCATCTTAACTTCATAAAAGCTCTGGAGAGAAGGCAGAAAATATCAAAATTTTCATTTGACCAATTTGCATTATGCAAGGCGACCCCTGCACAAGGTTAGCGATGATCCTAATCAATTGCTGTCGAGTTCGATGTTGAGCTACACAGTGTTCAAACGCATTATCATTTGTACACAGTCAGGCAAAATGAAGCAGTCTCCACCAAAACAAGACCACCGGCAAAAGAATCTTTCGTGATTCCACCGTCTGTGAATACAGATGGGACGGTCATTAACTCAGAATCCAATATTACTAATTTGGCAAACGGTCCCAGTATATCCGGAACTTCGTCTACGATAGACATTTCCAATCAAATATTCTTGCGAATTCGACTCAATCTCACTCCCTATGAGGAGGTTTCACACACGACGACAATAAATGTCTCCTCTGAAATGCCCTTTCAGGAAGTTTTGGAAATGATTTGTCGCAAACGCAAACTGGACAGTAACAAATATACTTTTAAGATTGCGGACACTGAAAAATACATAAATTTGGAGAAGGCGGTGGAAAGTGTGGGGAATGCCAATGAGCTTGCTCTAGTGGAGAGGCCTCTTAATGCCACGGCTTCTATGATTCCCGATGTGCCACCAAGTCCAACAAGTATGTCTTGTTCCCATTTACACATTGATTCTGCCATCTGACTATCATATCATTTTAACTCCACCCCATCTTTACCCCACCACACTCTAGGTGTTAAGGAGCGAAGTCTTGTGAAGCGAAGGACACTTAACGAACCTCAACCTCCATATGTGTCCTTAAATGAGTATATGTCAGTTTATAAGGTGGAGTTATTCGTTAACAGTTCAGTTCAGTTGATATGTTTCCCGTTATATTACTCACTTTGGTATACTTGATAAATATAGAAATATACCGTCAATCGCAAAACACCAATGTTTGTTGGACGTCACGAACGTGTACTGGCGATCGACGGAGATTATATACACATAATGCCGTCGGAAACAAGGACCATGTTTGAGTCTATGAAGACGGTAAGTTGGTGATATATTTTTTTGTTAAAGTGAGCCCATAATTTGCAACTTAATACTTTCGTCCAAATATTGCAGTCTTCTTATCATATTGGGAGCGTAATGTCTTGTAAGGTGGATAAGAAGGCGCCCACAAATTTCAAACTAATTATAAATCGAAATCAGGGAACAAAGACGTATGATTTCGAAGCCGAATCGAAGACTTTAGCTAGTAAGTTACCGCCTTATCATAATCAGAGCCAATCACGAGACATTTAATGACTCTAATATATTTATATTATGAATTTTTTCTTTTTCTCCAAGATGAAATCAGTCAAAAGGTTCGCTTCCTCCAAAACCTCAATAAAGGCGAATCAAAAGCACGTTCACATGTTAAATATTAGATCTATATCTCATATCAAAGGGATAACGAACAATTTTCCTCATTCATTTTATGTAACATTTGTCATACATTCATGAACTTCGACTTGTAAATTTATAACCCCCCGTCAAGTATGAATGTACTTGGCGGTTTCCGATACTTGTTTTCTTTTGGGGACAAATATCCATCCTGTAGAATATTTGCATAGAGGTCCTGATTTTTGTAACATCAATCAAGATTGAATTTTAAAAGAATCTTTTTCCTCGATCAACTTTTATTGAATAAAAGAGATGCGGCTCGACGTGGCAATCACATCGAGGGGATTCACTTGATCCGTTTGATCGGTTGCGTGTTGTCGATTTTGCAATTTCTCCAATTGCGTACGCACCTTCCACTCACGGGTGATCACTTTCAAAGCTGTCATGAACCTCCCCGAACCCTTCCCTAACATTAACTCAAGTTCCTTCGAGTAGTGAACCCGAAAATTTTAACAATAACTGTCTCAACTACGTGAATAAACCGCATACTGAATTTTCAAAATTAAAAGTTTTATTATTAAAAAATTGTTCAAAAATACTAAACTGACCAATAAAAAATCATAAGTTCTGCATAAATTAATAATAAAACACCAATTCATATGATAAATAGCAATCAGATTTTATAGAAAAAGATATTATCAAATGAAATAATAATAAGCCAAAAAAGTTGGTTATTTTTAACCTATTGTTATCTCTAAAAGAGAAGTGATCAACTATAAAATAAAAAAATATATTACAAATTATTTATTAAAAATATATTTTTTAAAAGATCTTTTTTTTAAAAAAAAATAAATAAATAAATTTTTGATTTGAAAAATAATATTATTTTATTGAAAATTTTTATTTAAAAAATTATTTATTTAAAAGATTGAACAAGATCTATAATTAAAAATAATATTTCAAAACTTTATAATAAAATTAACAATTAATTTTAAAAATAATGCTTTATTTTAAATATATATTAGTTATTAAAAAAATATAAAAATTTTTTTTTGATCTATTATCTTTTTTATTTATTTATTTTTTATTTAGAGATTATAAAACCTAGTTGCAATAAAGTTATTAATCACTACTAATATACTGTATAACAAGTTTTTTATTTTATTTTATTTTTTTTTAAACCCATGGTCAGGTCAGCACTGTATGTTTATTAATCAATATGAAAATCGATAGAGATACATAGAGCAATTGCATCATGACTAAACTAAAAACTTATACTGATATACTCGTCAATGACTTTCAATTTTCAAATGAGCTTCAGTCTCTAAGTACAACCTTGGGAACAATATTTCACTCTGAAATAAGTTTTGAGTGAAGATCTTCATAACTTACCCATCATTATCAACAAATTATTACTACTTATTATCCTCCAAGGAACTGATTTTGAAAAACTACAAAAGAAAAAAGGAAAAGAAAAGGGAATATCTAAAAATGCACAATTGTACTACATAAAAATGAAAAAAAGAAAAATAAAAAATAAAAGTGCTCTATATCCTCCAAAGGACCTCTGCTAGAAATCTCTTCTTATTAAGAATCAATTCTTCTGGAACATCCTTCTTCTTTCTGACTATCTGAGAAACTTATCTATCCATGCTATTGATTATTTTCTTGTAACCATCTAAGGTACTTATCATCTACTCAGATTTAGTGTCTTGTTCAACACTTTCTTTCTTTCAGTCTTAATTTTATATCCACTCACGCAGAACTGAATGGCTAATGGTGAACCCCAAGTTCTTATATGGCTTTTCAGTCTTGTTGTGTAACTTTTGATATCTTCCAGCAACCACACCTAGTTAAAGGAATTTTACTGGTGTATATTTTCTATTATTCAAAAAGTCAGATTCTTCAATAATCTTTTTGCCTTGCAATGGTGAAAGAATCTTGAATAGTATGAGGATTTTCATCGATTATGATATCATTACATAATATTAAGGGAAATGCATTCTTAATTCTAGAGAAAAGCAATGTTTTACATTCTTCTGCTTTTTAGTCTTACAGTCTAACTGGGATAAGGAAATAACCTCCTTTGCTACTTTGCCTGATTGGGATGATAAGAAATTGAAGATCTCGGCTTGAATAAATAATCACCTTTTCACTATCTAGGAAATTTAGTGCCCACCCTAATGGCCTCATGATTTCTTTGCTTTAGTTAAACTTTATTTGGAGGAGTGGAGGAGTTCGTATCCTTGATTTCTCTTTTAATTACTAATGATGTTATCAGAATATATGAGGTGATCAATAGAAGCTTGTTTACATTCAACTACTAATATGTTTCATGTCAACCAATCAGATGCCAGGTGACATTGTGCTACTAAAAATTCAGGGTCAAACTGAGATAGGCAAAATTCCTCAAGAAAACTGTAAAAACCAGTAAATACTTTAAGAGGATATAAGACAGTATGTGAAAAGGTGAAAAATAAACTTTCCCTTGTCAACAGAACCTCTATTTCTTGTTACTTTTAGCTCTGTGAAATGACACTTCACAGGTTAGTCCTTTTACTTCCTAGAACCTTCTTGTCTTTAATAGAGGAAGTGTATACTTGAGTCTTTTCAGACTACTAGAGACTCACATTTTTATTCAAAAGAGTTTATAAACAAGTAAAGAAGGGTAAAAGAGATAAATGAAGACAAGCTTTAAGTTGTTTTAATAAAAGTATAAAGACTTTATTAGCAAGGAAGTATAAAACTTCTTGTAAACATCTTTTTTGTGTGTGATCAGAAGATCAGCGGAAAGAGTTTTTTTAAAAAAATTATATATACTGTTAACTTGATCACAAAATAATAAAAAAAGTATAAATAATAAACAAATATCAATTTCAATAATTCCAAACAATTATTTATAGCAGTTATATCAAATTAAAGTCTTAGATATTGAACAAGGCATAGTAACAAATAGAAACAATAATAATTAAAAAAGTCTATAGATCTTAAAAATATAAAGATTGATAAAACCATTTTTAGACAAGACTATAAAGTTTATAGAAAAATCAATAAAATTTATTAATTATTCAAAAAAGCTTAAAACAATTAAAAATTTATAATTAAATAAAAACTTTTTAGATTAATCAATAATCTATAAAGACTTTGTAAAGAGATATAAAATTGAAAACTATCTAATAAAAAATATTGAATCACAATTAAAGAAAATAATTAAAATTAAACAAATTTTGAAAATAGTCTACAAAAAGAAAAAAAGCATATATATTAAGAATCAGATATATAATATATTAAAAATTATGAAAATTTTTAAAAAATTAAAAGAAAATATCAAGTTCAATTCTTAACTAAAAAAGATTTTGGATTATACTAGATTATATTTTAATTAAAAAATAAAATAATTCTAATTATATATTTACTAATCCTCAAATTATTAAACAAATAGTTAAGTTTTACTATCAAAAAACTTTTAAAAAAGAAATACAAACTTTGAAGATATAAATCCAGAATAGAAAAAAAAATATTAACTTAAACCATAAATAGAAAAAAATTAGTATCTATTATTAACAAAAAATATCTAATTAGAAAAATTAGAAAAAATATTATAAAATCTCTCAAATAAAAAGGCTTCAAGTTTTTTGCTCATTAGCTATAAAATACTTAAAAACTTATGATAAAAAAAAAACACTTCTTAATTAGTTCTTCAATAAGATTATAAAAAAAGAATAGATTTTCAAGAAATAGAAAAGTAGTAATATTTATTTAATATCAAAGTCAAAACCTTAAAACTATAAATTAAGCAATACAAAATTAATTATTTTATTAGAAACAACAAAAAAATATCTTATTAAAATAATTTAGTAGCAATATATAAGAAGTATAACAAATTATAGGAATCTAACTTTACTATCTGAACTGTGAATTAATAGTATAGTGAGTATACTTCTAGGTTATTTTTTATGAGTTATTAATTCAATCCTATTCAAGAATAGTTTTTGTAATATAGATTCCATTGTATAAGATATATGTTATATTAGCCATATACTGTATATGCTTATATATAAACTATCTATAGAAATCCACTATTTAACTATAATGTAATATTAGAGCATACAGGTCCTGATTAGTTTTAGTACTAGAATAAAACAAAAAAAGATTTTTATTATTTAGAATATGTAAAGATATCAAGATAGCTGAAAAAGACTCTAATTGGTCTAAGCCTCCAATAGAAATATGAATATCTGTCTCTTTTTGAAAAACACACTTATTGAAAATATGGGAAACTTCAATTATTTGTACTAGTTAAAAATAGAATAGGTCAGAAACAAAAAATTAATAAAAAATTTTATAGATTGTAAAATTAATAGTTATCAGAGAGAATAGCTGAATGTATAGTCTAGTAATTAGCATTAACATCATGATAAAAACTATAAGGGATAAATATGTTTAAAACAGACATAAGGCCTTACTTGACCAAAAAATACTTTTTGTAGGTCATACCTAGAGAGCAGTTAAAAATAGTTATAATGGAAGACTATATGTCACTTATAGAGTACTCCATTGAACTATTTAAATATTACATATGACCACTATGTCTAAAAAAGTTAAGATTCAAATCAGCTCTCTAAGGATTGAATACAGTAAAAATTATTCATAATACTTTACTATTATCAAGTGATAAATAAGACATCACTAAGTAATATATATCACAAAATCTTTTAAAGATTAAAATAAGAAGTCTAATAGTAGATTCTCAAAATACTATAGGCTTAGATAGAGCAAGATAATTGATAAACATGGTGCCACTATGTAGTAAAATTGATATACTTAATTAGAGATAGGTAGTTAAACAAGGTTATACAAATGGCTCATGTAATCTAAAAATATACTACTAAAACTTCAATAAAGATTTATTCTGTTAGTTGTACTAGTTAAAAAAAATTTTTTTTTGTTAATCTATAAGAAGAAAGTATAACTAAATCTATTCATCTTTTAATAATATTTGTAAAGAAGTTAACGAAAAGAAAAAAGATTCATGAATCTTCTT